CTCGCACCAGGGCACATGCAGCCACAGGCGACTTCTCTCAGGGCAGTGCATTCTTCGCCGGGGCAAACTGGGAGCCAGCAGGTTTGGTTTTGCGAAAGAACACTTGGGACTTCCCGCAAACTTGTGCACTGGTTTGCCGTTTTATCTCCTGCCTGGATGAAAACCACTGCTTTGGAGCTTTCGTGATTCTTGAGAACGTGTTGAGTGCACCACACAAAGATGGCAAGAATGCACATTCTCCTAACTTGGTCGTGGCCATCTCCCACTTCAAGGGCGGCCAGATTTGGCACGAGGACGCATCAGGCGAAGTCCAGAGGGTTGTACATGGCAATTTGCTCACAGGTAGGCTTCTTTTTCTGCAGGATGGCCCGGTGAAAGTGTTCGCAAGAGACAATTTTCATCAGACAGAGCCCTGGTCAGGGCAGCGCATAGTGCTGATTGCATACCTCCCCGAAAAGCTGCACATCTTGGAGAAGGCAGCCTCTTTGCACTTGCACGCCTTGGGGTTCAAATTTCCCGGGCCTGCGTTGGGGGGGGGATGCATGGCCAGGCCCGGTCTTTTCCCCGCAAGGTGATGGCTGCCTCCCGGTAGGAACTGACCCTAGTCCCTCGGTTCCTAGGGGTTTCCCTTTGCCCTCGGTTCCCCTCCAAGGCACGCCGATCCAGCAGGCAGAGTTAGGTGAAGGAGAGCAGGCAATCCAGGTCCACTCTTCAGATGAGGAGTTAGAAGGCGTTGCGGCAGACGAGGAGTTTGATCCGAGGCACAGCAAGGCATTTGGACAGCCCATGGTTTGCAGATTTGAAATGTCCAAGCGTCAGTTCGCGGACGGCTTCGAGCTTTGCTCACCCGGCAGGTGGGTTCCTGCTGCAAGGGAGACTCAGGGAGCTTATTGGCAGGTTTGTGGATGAGAAGGTAAGGGATGTGCGCGAGGCATCATTGGCATCATTCCGCCTTGCGACAGGCAAACTGAAGGAGCCTCCGTTTAGTCAAGCGGACATGGATCAGCTCAGGCGCGACGTGGCAGGCATCCTGGACGATCCCGCGGGGGCGCTCGAGGTACCGCCAGGCCAGCCATTCTTCTTGCAGATGCTGGCTCAATCCCTCAGAGGGGACCCGGATTGGGAGGTTCTCACGCAGGGGGAGGAGTGCTATGCCAATGGCATGCCGCTGGGCTGTGAGAAACCAATGCCAAGGGCGCCGTTTGCCCGAAGGTCTAAGTTCAGGAAGCTTGATGAGACGCCATTCGATCCATGCATGAATGCATGATCAATTACACTTCGGCG